TAGAAAACTGTATTATATTGAACTATACAGTATCTTAATGCATTCCGTCAAGTCAAATATCCTATATGGCTTTAATAGAAAAATGTATTTGAAGCATCGTGATATGATAATCGGAATCGAATCGAATCAGGAGATCAGTGACAATTCACACCTCTAGTCAAGTCCTGTCAATTTTTTTCATTGTTGCCCAGAATCAGGGAGCTTTACAGTGTGTACATTTTGAACGGCTTCATGAAGGACAACTGTGCTGCAACTCATGCTGAAAAATACTGATTGAAATGTTTATTTACATAGTAAAATGTTGTGATGTCTGTCTGTAGCTCAATGGGAGAGGAGTTACAGTACATTTGTGTAGAAGGAGATGAATTCCATTAAAGTCTACAAAGGTCATATATTTGTTAATGGCCTATTAGGGCAGCACAATATGATAAAAACGTGATATGGCGATTATTTCAACAAATATTGCAGTTTCTATATGATTCACAATTAGTGTGGAAATGATTATTTTTCCATTGAAAAATTGAAATTCTTAACTTAGAGAACAAGAGTTGTTGGCCAGGTCATCACTGCAGCACAACAGTACTTTATTATAATGATGATTTCTCACACATTTCACTTTTATCAAAAAACTGCAGCTTCTGTGTTCAGTGTGTTTATGGATACAATGATAGCCTCACCTAATACTGTAGCACACTAAACATCCATTTTATGGACACTTCAAACTAAAAACTAATACAGCACCAGGTATGCAAGTCTTTTGGGGGCTCCAGCTAGTTCTTAACCCTCTCAGTGTTAGTGCCTTGCTCCTTCCCCGTGAGTGATGCAGTACATTTCTTCCTGACAGGACTCCAGAAGGGGCTCCTTCAGCCAGGACCAAGGGTACCTACTGATCCGTGCTGTGAGGCGATCCCATGCAGGTGTCTACACCTGTCAGGTCAGAGTGCTCATCAACAACCAGCAGTACAAAGTCAGCAGAACCGTCCAACTCTGTGTGAAAGGTGGGTGATGTCACAGCACTCTTTCTTTTATGAACGGCCCCGCTTGAGGAATGTAGGCTAAATCAGACATGTTAATATAAAACATTTCTATTGCAGGTTTTACTTTACTTTAAAACTTAATTATAAAAAATACAAAT